AATTATTCAAATTCGACTCATTTCAAACCCGAATCGAGCCAAAATAACTCAACTATTTTACCTATAAAGAATTCAAGTTTTGTGAATTTAACCCAAGTCTTTTTAGACTCCTTTTTTTTTTAAATAAGCCTAAAAAATTGTTTCAACTCAACTCATTTTCTAATTGAACCCAAAACTAACCGAATTCTAGTAACTTGACTCAATTATCGGCCTTAACAAAAAATGGTGTTTTTTAACTCATGTGGGTAACAAGTTAAAATCAACTTACGAACAATTTGTTAATCAAAAGCTTTGCACTCGATTCTTAACGTTGGAGTCCTCCTTGCCCAAACAACTAATTCACCACTGAAAACCACCGATTTTTCCCTCCATACACAACTTCTCTTTTAGAACTGAACACCACCGTCGTCTGAACTTGCTCATATGACGTATATTTTATACGAGAATGGATTTAAACGAGTCTCAGAATGTACTTGATTGACTGAATNTGTCGTCTTTTTTCTTTGATTTTGTTTTCTCTCAACCAAAACAGAGATTAATTCTGATCATAGCCCGCATGCAAGCAAGATGATCAAAATCAGAGTTCAAGAACATCCATGCCATTGACATGCAAATTCTTTTACNACCACCGATTTTTCCCTCCATACACAACTTCTCTTTTAGAACTGAACACCACCGTCGTCTGAACTTGCTCATATGACGTATATTTTATACGAGAATGGATTTAAACGAGTCTCAGAATGTACTTGATTGACTGAATTTTCAATCTCCATGGTTAAAGTAAAGGTTCTCTAAAGCAATTTGTCTCAGTTCTCCGACAATGAATACGTTTTGCGCTTGTGAGCCCAATTATCTAGAACTGTGTGTGAGTGAGAGAGAGAGAGAGATTGGATCTTTTAGGGGTTCGATTATAGGGCGGAAATAGAAGAGAAAAAGAATGAATTCAGAAAAATGATTTGGTCTTGATTCCGCCAAATGCAATTTGTATTTCTCTGTGCTTGTATGTATACATGTGTTTGTATGAGCGTGAGAGAAGTATGATTGAGGACAAAAAGAAGGGTGACACTGGAATTTTAGCAAAATCTTGCACGAAATCAATACTTTCAATCACTTAAATAATTAACAAGTATTCAGGTGGGCAAGGCAACCCCAAAACTATTTCTACAAAATAATTAACAAGTTTTTATATTTTTTTGGAACTTCTACAATACCGCCTGTGGTACCAGCATCGAAAGTTATAAATTTTTTAAGGCTAAATTACAATTTTTTTAAGGTGTAAATTACAATTTCATTAGACATGATTGACTATGGAATATTGAGATCGATACCAATTTTTTCATAATTGATCATGAGTGTCTATGATCAATTATTACCTCATTTGAAAAATTATATCTCTTGAACAGTTATAACTTTTCTTTACAAAATTGTAACTTTATCATACAAAGTAATAACCGCTGGTACTGATACCAATTTTTTTTTTTTTTAATACCGTAGGGTTTCCCTTTTTGGTTTTTTTTTTTTTTTTTTTTGGGGGGGGGGGGGGGGAAAGCCACT